CCTCAGTTTGTTTCTCAGAGTCCATAGTCTCTCATGGTTCGTTTCCCCCTCCACTTGTATGTCTTCTTTGGAGAAGTGTCTATTCAGGTCTTCTGCCCAATTTTGACTTGTTTATTTGTTTTTCGGGGGTTGAGTTTGAGAAGTTCTTTATAGATCTTGGATACCAGCCCTTTATCTGTAGTGTCATTTGCAAATATCTTCTTCCATTCTGTGAGTTGACTATTTCCTTTGCTGTGCAGAAGCTTTTTATCTTGATGAAGTTCCAAAACTTCATTTTTGCTTTTGTTTCACTTGCCTTTGGAGATGTATCTTGAAAGAAGTTGCTCTGGCTGATGTTGAAGAGGATACTGCCTATGTTCTCCTCTAGGATTTTGATGGATTCCTGTCTCACATTGAGGTCTTTCAACCATTTTGAGTTTATCTTTGGGTATGATGGTAGAGAATGATTGAGTTTCATTCTTCTGTATATAGCTGTCCAATTTTCCCAGCACCATTTATTGAAGAGACTATCTTTTTTCCATTGCATATTTTTCCTGCTTTGTCGAAGATTATTGGACCATAGAGTTGAGGGTCCATATCTGGGCTCTCTATTCTGTTCCATTGGTCTATATGTCTGTTTTTGTGCCAGTGCCATGCTGTCTTGGTGATCACAGCTTTGTAATACATCTTGAAATCAGGCAATGTGATGTCCCCAGCTTTGTTTTTCTTTCTCAACATTTCCTTGGTGATTCAGAGTCCTTTCTGATTCCATACAAATTTTAGGATTGTTTGTTCCAGTACTTTGAGAAATGTCATTGGAATTTTGATCGAGATGGCAATTTGAATACTTTTATTTCTTTTTGTTGTCTGATTGCTGTTGCTAGGACTTCTAGTACTATGTTGAACAATAGTGGCAAGAGTGGGCTTCCTTGTCCTGTTCCTGATGTTACGGGAAAGCCTCTCAGCTTTTTCCTATTGAGGATGATATTCACTGTGGGTTTTTCATGGATGGATTTTATGAAATTAATGAATGTTTCCTCTATCCTTACACTCTGAAGAGTTTTAATCAGGAAAGGATGCTGTATTTTGTCAAATGCTTTTTCTGCATCAATTAAGAGGATCATATGGTTCTTCTCTCTCCTCTTATTAATGTGTTCTATCACATTGATTGATTTGCGATTGTTGAACCACACTTGCATCCCAGGGATAAATACCACTTGGTCGTGGTGGATGATCTTTTTAATGTATTGTTGGATCCTATTACCTAGGATTTTGTTGAGAATTTTGGAATCCATATTCATCAGGGATATCAGTCTGAAATTCTCCCTT